TTTTTTTGTTTTTTTTTTTTTTTTAATATTATAAAGTTTTTTTTTTTTTTTTTTTGTTTTTTTTTTTTTTTTTTTTTTTGAAAGAAGAAAGATAAAATAAAAAAAGGATAATGGGATGCGTAATAATGAGTCGGTGGGGGCGGTGTGGTGTGTGTTTGCAAGTTCCCACGTCTGCAATGCTCTGTAAAGCAGGTTTCCATATCAAATACAAGCTGTTAATTTTAAAAGTCCACTTCTTATGTTGGAAGAGCATAAGCTTTGAGCTTTTCAATCAAAGCCTTGAAATCTTAGTAAGAACGACCACCTTCTTCGACGGCCCTCTTAGCCTTAATACCTATTTCCTCCGCTCGTTGCCTCATCGTCACCGCCGCCGGTGAACCACCCATGAGAAAAGTTATAGCCGTGGTTAACGCATCCATGCCCACCAAAGGGAACAACGGCCACGAGATCAACGGTAAACCGGCGGTGAGGCTTTGACAGAACTGGAGGGGGTCAGGGAGAGAACCGGCGAGGGACATGGAGGGGAGTTTGGATTGTGGGTCGCTGATAGAGTTCTTGAAGCCTTCCAGACACTTGACATCGTCTTCCTTTCTCTCTGCACCATGGTCTTTCCTTTGGTCTCAACTAACTATTAGTCGTTTTGTCTATTAATATAAAGCTTTTAGCATCATAAATATCTAGCAAAAAGCTTTGATTTGTCTATTAATATAAAGCTTTTAGCATCATAAATATCTAGCAAAAAGCTTTGAAGTGTTACATGTTGGCTTTCTCTGCATTTCATGTATTTTCGTGCAATTTAAAGTGAATGGATTCTGAATATTGCTTCGGTATTCCTTTGCCTTATTTTCTGTCATACAATTTTACCATTATTGGACTGATTTCAGATAATTATACCCCATGGAGAACCAGTTACTGTTGATACATTTCTTGCATGGAGAGAAAGGTTTGAAGCAGAGTTAGCGCTAGAAAGAGCCAAGTAAGTTTCTTGAGTTGCACACCTTTGATCTACTCTTCTTCTCAACACAAACGTTCACTTAGGTGGTGTTTGATAAAATTGAAAACTGAAAATTAAGCATCGAAAAAAACTGAATGTTAAATTTTTTAGTCTAAAAAACTGTTTCATAAAAATTTAAGTACTGAACTATAATAAGTTGTTTCATATGTACAAAGATGAAATTTGAAATTTATTATTTTCAAATTTTCTTTTTGAATTTTTATGTTGTGGAGGTGGTGGCGGCGGTGGTGGTGGCAGTGGTGGAGGTGGAAGTGGAGAGTTGTGTTAGTGGTGGTGGTAGTGAAATGATTGCCCGTAACGATGATGGCAATGGTGGTGGTGGCAGTGATGGTGGTGGCTGGCGGCGGTGGGACTATGGGTGTAATAGTGGTTGTGGTGGCGGTAGTGGTGAGATAATAATAACAGCGCACGTCGATATTTATGCATAAGCAATTATAAATTTAGTCTGTATTAAGTAAGAATCGTACAACTTGAATTTTTTTTAATTATTAGTCACTTAAATTTTTAAATGATACAAATCGTGGTTATCGAACGGACTTGCTTAATACATTCAATTTTAAGTGCTAAATTAGGTTATCAAACACCACTTTACTCATTACCTGACAATTTTGTTCAATCATTTTTGAGAGGTAAATTGGTAAATAATGTTGTTGGAGCAAAGCCCAAGACACTTATTGGAATGGTTAACTTGGTGTCTTTTGAAAAGAAATCCAGTTTAGTACGCTTGTGCAAGTGCAACTTATCCTTGGGGAATCCTACTTCCAAAGGTGAGGAAGTACCCACGTAGGCATAGTGCTAACCAAGATATGCCAATATTTTATGGGCCCCAAATTTGAGGACTATGGCTGAGATTGCATGAGCTGCCGGTAGCTTAGTACTTTGAGAGAGAGTGAGAGATAGGCACTCGAGATCATGGAGGATTGCAATGCTTCAGTTCGTCCTTGGTCCATGTTGGATTTACTAGAGCCACCTGGAGTACCTCATTGAGAACTAGCCTTACGGAAGTGGTATCCAAGGCCAACTGACTCTACTCTAAAATGCAGCCTTTGCAGAGGTCATTGTTTAAAGAACTTTATCTGCCTAAACTGTTATCAGTCCAAGAGTTGGCACTAAATTTGCCTCGGCAGAAACAGCAGAGCTTAAGAAGATCCTTTTATATTCCAACTTCCAAGGATATTGACACTACTTTTTATACTGTCAGAATGGGAAGCCTGGCATTGGCACTTGTATACTTCAGCTTAGAGTCATAGGTACTTATCTAAGGGGAAACCATAGTTCTAAATAAGGCTAATATCTTCTCATATATTACAAAATACTGGTAATGAAAGGGCTTCCGTTATATTTACCTTGAGACTCAACAAAATAATGAAAATTACATCAAGGTTTTCATTTGAAATATTGGAGATTACAGATGGTACATCTTCATCATTTGATATCTCAACCTCTTAGGGTCATTCCTATGCTGAAGTTCCTACCAAGATAAACACACTACTGTAATCCTGCCTCCTAGAAAAGAAAAACAGTACAGAAATACAGCATTACAAGAAAACAATCTCAGACATTATTATAATGTTATTATATGGTTTGTACTACAATGCTGTTACTATATTACTATAATAGACCCAATATCAAAACATGAAACCATAAACATGAACCATGGGCAAACCCTTATCTTTTATGGACTACATCATAAGCTTAGGTGTTGCATTTCAATTTGGCTTGAACTTAAAATATCTGCACTGACTGCTCTTTCACATGTTCAACTTAGATTTCCTCACTTAATAGTTGTGGGTACTTATATCACATGCCTGACACTTAGCTGATCCCTGAGGCACTGTGATGTCTGGGACTAATTGAGGTTGTATGCTAGTATAAGCGGGGCATACACTCCACAAGTATGTCTTTTCAGCTCACTGGCAGCTGAGTACACTGTTGCTTCTCAGGCAAGAGTTCCAAACTGAACGAGTCAAAGTATGAAGAGCTCGATGCATGGCTCGCAGCATATATGTCGTGAAGCCAAGTTCACTCACTCAGCTATAGCTCACTCAGCAACATCGTAACTCTGGAGCACCACGACTCACTTAGAACCTTGGCTCACCATGGGTCTTCATACCTCATTCTCATAGGGAATGCTCGGGAGTGATCACCTCCTTCTCTCAGTCACTCCCACCCCACAACATGGTTTGGCCCTTGGCTTTGCATAAGTCTCCCTTGTGCATTCACTCACTCATTAAGTTGGGATTACTCTGCTTACTACTATCATAGCCATCACTTGGTAGCCTAGGCTAGGAGTAGGGCCTAGGCATTCACTGCTTGGGATCATCAGAAGATTGTGGATTGGAGACTAGGATCACTGATTCATCAAGGTTGCCTGGCTGTCCCCCAAGGAAGACAGCTCTGCCCTGACTACTCGGAGAGAGGGGACACTGACCTTACACTCACGCCTGCTGCATGCTATGATACACCTTCCAAGATATCACTGCAACTCCTATGATGCGGCCTTCCCAAGGTCTTAATCATAGGATGTAGCAGTACGGTTGATGTCACCAACCTGTTGAGTTGAGTAGAACTTGCCACCTGTCCACAGGTGACTTGAGCTCCCATACTCCTAGAGCCTATAAAAAAGGCATCATGTATGCAGCCACACAACAACACAACACTTGTATAGCTTGTGCATAACAACCCCATAACTTAGTGTTCAAGGTCTTTCAATGTCACCCCCTTTATCTTTAAGGCTGCCTTGGTCTTCTCCTCTGCTGCTTCTGGTGATCTCTAGCCATTGAAGTGCTGCTTGCCATCTTCCTAGAGGTCCACAATTGACCACCTCTAATACCTACTACCTACAAATAATTAAAATGTTTCCGCTGTAATTTTGTCTTAAATGTTCTGTTCAGCAAAGAATGTTTGAGGTGTTGCTGGATTCTAGAATTATATTCTTGTTAACATAATAAAAACAATCTCTCATATTTGAACATCAGATACTTGAGCTTATGTCATATGTCTATTTGTTTTTGTCCAAGCTCTTCTAACAAGGAAATTATGTAATACATCTGTTTGGATTGTGGGGTTTGGTGAGAAAAGAAAAGAAATGGATAGAATGAAGTTTCTTATCATTTGTTTGGATGATTAATGAGGTGAGAAATGGTGAGAAAGGTAAATCATTCAAACCTTCAGTTCTGAGAAAACCAAAATTACTTACAAAAATTTATAATACCTAAACTATCCCTCTAAATACAAAGCAAATAAATTAAAAAGATACATGTATCCTCTTTTAATCATTGTTCATCCAACAAGAAGGGGAGAAACCACAATCATTTCCTTTTCTCTTCTCATCCAGGTGAGAAACTACAATCATTTCCCTTCTTTACCTTCCAAAAAAGTCCATGATTTTAAAACTTTTAGGATTAAAAAAACAAAATCAAGTCCTCCATCATTTGCTGAATTGATAATTGAAAACATGAGATCTCAAGCAAAAACTTGAGTTAGTAGGATTATTATTATATTGGTTTTTCTTCGAAATCTTTTCCGAAAATGTGATCTTTTTTTATTTATTTTTTGGGTATCATTGTTAGAAGAAGAAATAGGCTTCCTTTTTTCCTTTCATATATACATATATATATGTATATATTTTCCTTTGAAAATGAGGGTAGGACATTGGATTGGTTGCTGGCTCAAGCAGTTACTTCATTTCTTATTGACTGTAGTACACTGCCATACTTAAGGGAACAGTGATACTCGGTATATAAATTATAGAGGAGTGATCTTATCTTCATGCAATGCTGAACATCGCCTTCTTTTGTACCATGTACATGATGAACTTCAAAATTTGGAGTCAAAAGCAGGAAAAGAAATAAGTATTTATGGATTTGAAATGCATGTATTTGGAATTAATCAGTCAAGGAGAAAGTAAGAAGAGTAATTTAAATTTAGATATAATAGTTTACCCAAGTATTTCAAGATCATATTAAAGAGTTTTTATCATGATGCATTTGGAAATACCTATATAAAAGTAGTTATTTGAAATTATGCTAAGAATTCTCCTTTTAGCTACAAAGGTCTTACTAAAATACATCTTTTTAAATTTTTCTGTCCACTTATAATAGCTAACTTTTCAATATTTTTATAAAATCCAATCTTCAAATCCCTTGATTTGAAGTACACCTCTACCCAAATGGAGCCTAATATTCAATGTCAAAACAACAGTTTTGGACGTTTTGACTTAGCAACTTGAACAATACTAATCAATGTTTTTTTTTATTCAACTAGATTACTGTTTTTTATTTGCTAGCAACATTTATCTTCATGACAAGTGACCATGCACCAACTCTCAGGCTAATGCCCGAGTCAGCACTATCTGCACCCAAGGAAAAGAGGCTCACAGGCAGACAGTATTTTGAAAGCGGAAGAGCTAGTCTGGTACTTATTCTTCTGAACTGTTTTGTCCCGTTGTATTGTAAATGCATGGAAAAATGTAGCTGCTACACTCTAGCTTTCTAGTTTTGCAAAAAATTGAATGTGCAACTAAAAACATGCAATTAAGTGCACTATTTCATTTGTGTGTGTGTCTGTGTGTGTGAGAGAGAGAGCATATTTGACATTTGAGAGGTTTTTTTCCTCTTCTGCAGAAAGGTGCCACACAAATTGCTGAAGGATCTGATGTGGAAGATGAGGAAGATATCGATTTTGACGACGAAGACTTTGAAGGTGATTCTCACTTCCCACTGTGCCCATAAATTTGAGTGTGTTAGTGGGTGGATAGGTTTCATGCTTTTTTGCACCTACATGCTTGCGCATGAACATGATGCTTAAATCCCATCAAAAAATTAAAAAACTTAGGATTGTTAGGTAAAGTTTCTTCTAGTTAAATTAATGAGTGTCGAGGATGTAAACTTGCTAAAATGACAGCTTTACTTTTTAATAACAATACTTCTATTTTTGCTTCCTCTTTTTCTCTTGTACATACTGATGTCTGGGGACCTTCTCCTGTTCTCACTAAAGGGGTTTATGTGTACTATGTGTCATTTGTTGATGATTGTACCCGCTATACCTGGGTTTATCTTATGGCTCATAAATTTGACTTCTACCGGATATATCGTACCTTTCAATCTACGATCACTACACAGTTTGGGGCTACAATTAAAATACTCCGGTCTGACTTGGGTGGGGAATACTTTAAAACTGAATTCTGTGAATATTTGGCCAAATTGGACACCATTCACCAAACCTTCTGCACTGATACCCCTGCCCAAAATGGTCGTGCTGAGTGTAAACATCATCATCTCCTTAAGACAGCTCGATCTCTCCTTTCTGCCTCTGTTTCGGTACCATTCTGGGGTGAGGCAATTCTTACTGCTGCTTTCCTCCTTAATCGCATGCCGACTCCCCTTATCTCTGGTCGATCCCTTTATGAGGCTTTGTATTCCCACACTCCTAATTATTCCCTCCTGTGTGTCTTTGGGTCTGCTTGTTTTGTCCTCATTTTCCATAAAGATAGGACCAAACTCAGTGCCCAGTCTGTCTTGTGTGTCTTTTTAGGTTACAGTCTTACTCAGAAAGGCTACCGCTGTTACGACCCTATCTCTCGTCGCCTTTATGTCTCCCGTCATGTTACCTTTCTCAAACGTATGTCTTACTTTTAGCTTCCCTCTCTCATTGCTCCCGTTCCCAAAGAGGATTTGGTTCACATTGACCCATTTCCTTCTGAGGTCCCGTCTGATGAGTATATCTCCACTGTTCCTCTTGAGGCCATTCCTATTTCTCCATCTGCGTCATCTATGGCTTATTTTTCTCCTTCAGCTTCTTCTTCCCCTCCGTTGTTGGTCTATTCTCGTCGCAAGGTTCTCCTACCATCAGTTGTCTCTACTCCTGTTGCTGCTTCTTCTGCTTCTGATGACTCTGATCCTGCTACACACCGATATCCTACTTGTGAGCGTCGTACTCCAAACAGGTTGGGTTGGTCTAATACATGTTTTTCTGCTTCCTATCGTACTTTTTTGTCTGTTGTTCATTCTTTTTCAGAACCTCAGTCTTAGACGGAGGCCTGTCAGGATTCTAATTGGGTTCAAGCTATGGAGGATGAGTTGTTTGCCTTGCAGAAGACTAACACTTGGGAGTTGGTTCCTTTGCCTGCTGGCAAGAATTTGGTTGGTTGCAAATAGGTCTATAAAGTTAAGACTCATTCTGCTGGTTCTCTCAAGTGATACAAAGCTTGCTTGGTTGCCTAGGATTTCTCGTAGGAGTATGGTATTGATTATGAGGAAACATTTGCCCCTGTTGCTAGGATAACTATTGTCCATACCTTGATTTCTGTTGCTGTTGTTCGACATTGGCCTCTCTATTAGATGGACATTAAGAATGTTTTTCTTAATGATCATCTCACTGAGGAGGTCAACATGCGTCCTGCTCCTGGTCTTTTCCACTCCTCTGGGTAGGTTTGTCATTTTCGGCATGCTTTGTATGGTTTGAAGCAATCTCTTCGTGCTTGGTTTTATCGCTTTCAAGCTGCTGTTACTGAGCTTGGGTTTCATCCTTCTGCTTCCGACTCTGCTTTGTTTCTGAGACATACCTCAGTTGGTTTTGTTGCTCTCCTACGCTATGTGGATGATATGATCATCACTGGCTCTGACTCTTCTGCTATCTCTGAGGTTAAGCAACATATCTTCTGCACTTTTGAAATAAAGGATCTGAGTCCATTGTGGTATTTTCTTGGTATTGAGGTTGTCTCTTCTCCAAAGGGTTATTTTTTGTCTCAGGTCAAGTATGCTAATGAAGTTATTCATCGTGCCAGTCTTACTGATACTAAGGTTTCTGATACTCCTATTGAGCTTACTGTGAAGCTCAACTCTACTGATGGTGTCCCTTTGGATGATCCCACTTTCTATCGCGAGCTTGTGGGTTGTTTAGTTTATTTGACTGTCACTCGCTCTGATCTTGCTTATGCTGTTCATGTGGTTAGTCAGTTCGTTTCTGCTCCTCGCTCTACGTATTGGGCTGCTTTGGTTCGCATTCTTCGCTATCTTCGAAGTACCATCTTTTAGGGTTTACTGTTATCCTCTACTTTCTCTTTATACTTGGTGGCCTATGCTGATTTTAATTGGGCTGGTGATGTTAATGATCGCAAATCTACCTCTAGTTTGTATATGTTTCTTGGCGATTTCTTGATCTCTTAGAAAAGCAAGAAACAAACTGTTGTTGCTCGCTCTACTGTCGAAGTTGAGTACTATGCTATGGCTCATGCTATTGCTGAGCTTATTTGGCTTCGTTGTCTTCTCTCTGATTTGGGTGTCCCTCAGTCTTCTCTGACCTCTCTCTATTGTGACAACCGCAGTGCTATTCATATTGCCCACAATACTGTCTTATATGAACGGACGAAACACATTGAGATTGATTGCCACTTTGTCCATCAGCATCTGTAGTCTGGCTCTATCTCGCTTCCTTTCGTCTCTTTAGCTATACAACTTGCTGACTTCTTTACCAAGACTCACACCACTACTCAATTTCAGTTTCTTCTTGGCAAACTCTCAGTGTTTTCTGCTAAAATACCTTGAGTTTGAGCGAGGATGTGAGAATATTAGGTTTTGTGTATATATGATAGTATATATATTTTGTATATATTAGGAATTTGAGTCAATATTTTTATTTCCTTTCCAGTCGTAGGTTAGATTGTTATATAAAGTGATGTACTCTTGTATTACTAATACAATTGAATATACTAAAAAACGTTCAGAAATCTTACACATGTATGCTTCAGTTCAGTCAGCATAATCAAATTAAAGTATTTTGTCCAACTAATAATGTAAGCTGCAAATGCAACAAGGGTTATGGTTATAAGTTGAATAGAAGTTCCCACACATATTGGAGTTGTGAAGTATCAATAAATTAAAATATTTTGTCATGCTAAGAAATACTCTCATAATCCAAATGAGGGTTACTCTAAACGCAGTTACCATGATCAAATTGAAATCTTTAGGCCATGCCAACCATCGTTCACCAAAAAAAGGATCACACAATAGGGATGGCCCCAAATTTGCCACCGACCCAATACATAAATTTCAAGATAAAAGTAAAAATCAAACCCTATATGTTTCTTTGACAGAAGAACAACATAAACAGATGCTGCGAATAAATGAAAAAATCGTAAGCTGAAACAAAAACCAAGAGTGGGATACGAAAAACAAGCATGTTGGCTTCGATTTTGAATCATAGTGTATAGAAATTGAAATCGAAGTGAAGAAGGGAAGAGGGGTTCTCTGACCTGTCGGCATGGTTGCTGAGTTTCTTGTTTGGTTCGGAGGATCGGGGTAGAGACGCCGTGTGTGTTTTGCTGTTTGCTTGCAGGGAAGGCCAATGCTCAGCTAAGAGATATCTCTAGCAAGGGCAAATTACTCATACACCCACATCTATCACTTCCACTCCCAAACTAAAAATAAGCAATCCGAATTCAACCAGAATCGTTTCCTAGCATTTGACCAAAATAATTTTAAATTTGGTGTGAGTTTGAACAAAAATTCAAATCTCAAATTAAATTTAAATGAATTTGAATAAAGATAACAACCCGAATAACCCAAAACTCAAATTTATGTGCAATTTAAGCTTAACTCCGGTTGAATTTGAGTAGATAATTTTGGATTGAAGATTCAAAATAATTTCTCTGTAAAGATCCAAACTTCTTGAGCAATTAGGGAATGTTTAATTGACAGGATTAGAGCATAGGATTGAGATTATTAATCTGTGGGTTCAGTAATCTTGTGTTTGTTTTGAAATTTAATTTCAGAATTATTAATCTAATGGATAATTAATCTAACAAATTTGTAGGATTATTAGTAATGGTAATGGGGTAGGGGTGAGATTATATATCCTGAGTTGGGAAATAAAATAAAAAAATTCTTTTACTCTTGACTAAAAATTAAAACACTTATTATTTTTATATAATTTTATATTTTAGAAGGCTAAAAATAATTTTTAAAAATTAAAAGAAAAAATTTGATATTTATTTTATCAAATTAATTTATATTTAAAAAAAATTAAAAAACAAACCAAATACGGCCTTTGTATTTTGTATTTTTAATTTGCTTTTACCTATTTATTTATAATTTTTTTTCAAAATCATGTTTATGAATAAATTTTGATAAAGTAAAGATTGTGAAGAAAGATTGACGGAGGGTAAGATTGGAAAAGAATATAAATATAGTTATAATCTTGCATTCATATGTTTTCTTATTCAATGTAAATCAAGCAATGGATAAGGGATTAATTTATCCTACTAATCCAATTGGATAGTGAATATCATACTAATTTGATGGGATTATTAATACTTTCACTATTAATCTTATAAATCAAACATGACCTTAATGATTACGAGGGAAAACCATCATGGGCGTTGTAATGCCTTCAAAATGATACATAATTCGCACATCCAATCCTTCCATAAACATGATAGATAGTTTACATTGCCATACAAACATCAGAGTTAATATTACAAAAGTGTATTTCACATTAATTACAAATGTTCACAAAAATAATAGATTGCCCTGCAGACTTACATCTTTCCAAGTTACTACTTGGTTAATCAAAAGAAAAATTCTAACTCTCTTACAGATAAAGCCCTAGGCTTGCATTTGCATATAATTAACAAAATAAATAACAAAGCAGAGTCTTCAACTCCGAAGACCTCCCAAGTAAAGATCTTGAATTTGGCACGTCTCATGTACCTGAAAATGGTGTCCCAAGTAGGGTGAGCCAAAACCTAGTAGAAATGTACTAAACCCAATATGAGAAATAACTA